TAAACGAATGGTATTTGTAAACTTTGAGTAATAGTAGGATATATTAGACAGTTCTGACCGCTGAGCCGCTGAGCCGCTGATCCTGTGCTGAGCCCGCCGTCCGGTCGTGTACGTGTATGACGTATATTTTACCCCTCCTCCCCCTTACCTTACCATGTTACTGAGCCCGCCGCCGGTCGTGTACGTGTATGACGTATATCTTACCCCACTCCCCCCTTACCTTACCATGTTACCGAACCCGCCGCCCGGTCGTGTACGTGTATGGCGTATATTTTACCCCTCCCCCCTTACCTTACCATGTTACTGAGCCCGCCGCCCGGTCGTGTACGTGTATGACGTATATTTTACCCCACTCCCCCCTTACCTTACCCTGTAAGTGTACCTTGTAGTAGCTCTAGTACCTTACCTAAGTTTGTACCGGTTTTTTTTCATAATCTTTCAAACTACGATTCTCACTATGTTATTTCCCAAMTTGACTATGACACCTGTAAGATTTCCGTTATACCGAACAGTGAGGAGAAATTTATATCTTTCTCAAAATATATAAGTGGCGACTTCACTGTTCAATTTATCGATACCTTCCGGTTCATGGCATCAAGTTTAGGGAAATTAGCCGCTAACATGATTACACCATTATTTGAAAATTTCCGAGAAACTAGCAAACATTTTGCCGCCGGAGACATGCCACTCGTGACACGTATGGGGGTGTACCCTTATGAGTACACAGATAGTTGGGAACGGTTGAAGGATACAAGACTACCGAGTAAGAGAAGATTTTACARTTCGCTGACCGAATCGGGTATAGAAGAAGACGAATTTGAACACGCGAATGAGGTATGTTATTATATGATTATTTCTATATAATATATTTTTAAAATGTTTGTTTGTTTCATGTATGGTCTCGGTTCGATTGTAAGACGTTGGGCGAGTATTCCGACCTGTATCTTAAAATCGAYGTGTTGTTACWYACCGATGTGTTTGAAAACTTCCGTGATGTATGTATGCGGACATACAACCTGGACGCAGCCCACTATTTCACCGCCCCCGGCTTAAGTTTTGACGCAATGTTGAAGTTCACGGGGCAGAAACTTGAACTGTTATCGGATTATGACATGATGTTAATATTTGAGAATGGTGAGTATATTATTTAAAAAAAAATACACATATGATAATAATAACGATTTTTTTTTTTAGGTATACGTGGTGGATTGGTGCAGGCCAGTATGTGTTACGCGAAGGCGAATAATGTAAAGACTCCGGGTTATGATGAGCCAAAGGAAAAATCATGGCTTATTTATCAGGACTGTAAGTATATATAAATATTTTTATTTTTATTTATTTTTATACTTATTAATTTTTTAGGCAACAACTTGTACGGATGGGCAATGTCCCAATACATGCCTTACGGTGGCTTTAACTGGGTTGAAGCCACATTGAATGGATTGAATGATCTGAGCGATACCTCCCCCATAGGGCGAGTATACGAAGTTGATGTGTCTTATCCGAAAGAGTTACACGATAACCATAATGATCTGCCTTTCCTGCCACAAAATAGTATACCACGCGGATCAAAGGTACGAAAACTGATGGCTACATTTGAAAAGAAAACAAACTACGTTATACACTATAGAAACCTGCAGCAGGCGATTAAAAATGGTTTAATAGTTGAAAAAATAAATTTTTATTTTTTTATTTTTAATTTWATTTTATTTTATTTATACCTAGGTTCACAGAGTGTTGCAGTTTGACCAGTCGCCATGGTTGGCGGATTATATAAATTTGAATACGAAAATGAGGAAGAAAGCGAAGAATTTTTTCGAGAAAGACTTTTTTAAACTCATGAACAACGCGGTGTTTGGTAAGTTAATTTATTTACTACCATATATATTATGTATATATATGTTTTGATTCGCATATTGTTTATAGGTAAAACGATGGAATCGAAAAGTAAACAGATAAAGTTGGAATTGGTGTCAGATGAAAAGCGACTTCAGAAATTGATAAACAAGACGACTTTTAAACACTGTACCAGGTACAGTGATAGCCTGAACGCCGTTTCACTGGAAAATAAAATAATTAAATTCAACAAACCTATCTATATTGGTAAAATTTATTTTATTTTCAAATTTTTGCATTTATTATCACATTTATTTTTCTATAGGATTTTCAGTTCTGGATATCAGTAAGACGATAATGTACGACTATCATTACAACGTGATGAAAAAACACTATGGAGACAGAATAAAACTTATGTACACCGACACAGGCAAATATATTAAAACTAATCTCATATATATATATATATATATTAATTAATATCATTATTTTTTTCTAGATTCKTTGGTGTATCATATCCAAACTAACGATTTTTATGCTGATGTGACGGCTAACAGTAACTTATTAGACCGGATGGACACCGCAAATCTTCATCGCGACCATCCGTGTTATGTGGCAGAGAGGAAAAAGGTACCAGGATTCTTTTCCGATGAGACTAACGGACATACCATGACTGAGTTTTGCGCACTTCGCGCAAAATCGTACGCATATAATATATATGCAGGGGATGATGACAGATTAGAAGGAGAGTACATAAAGGCGAAGGGGATTCGACCTCACGTAGTCAAACACCACATGACTCTAAAAGAGCATAAAAAATGTTTGTTTGGTGAAGTTGGAGTGGAGGCATACAAGGAGAATGTATCTATTCGCTCATTCAAACATCAGTTGATGACGATAAAAACGAGAAAGCTAACTTACAACAGTTATGACGATAAGAGAGTGGTGCTAGAAGATAAAGTGCACACACTAGCACATGGACATTATAGTATAGAGTAAGTTATTACAAACATATATATATATATATATATTTTTACTAACATTTTTCTTATTTTTACAGGGAAGATGATTGGCCTGAATTAGATGAAGAAGGACAGAACTGGAACGATGAAGAGAAAGGTTTAATGAGGGGCCTTCTACACTACATAACCTGTATATAGTTAAATAGTTTTATTGTAAATATTGTTATATTGTAAATATCACTCGAATAATTATTTGTATATTCGTGTAAATGTAAACACATAAAAATATAAAAACAATGTTAAAATATAATGTTTATTAAATACAATCAAATTTTTAAGAATTATTTATAAACCATTTTCTTATAGCAAAAACTTTATAAAATGTATACTGTTTAAGATTAAATTCCATATAAAAAATACAACATGGTAGAGTTTCGTCATCGCATATTTGATCCAAACGAGGACAGCCCAAATCTTCAATGTTGATAAATGCGACATGTGGTATATACTCCATTAGAATTTTTTTTTTTCTGATCACCTTTGACGTATATGCAACTGAACTTTAATGAATTCAATATTCTCCCGACTTCTTCATACTCGACATCACCAAATTCTATAGCTAGTTGATGATAATTACGTTCCAACTACTTGTTAGTTTTACGACTCTTGTTATCTTGCATAGATTTCGAATGTTTWAAAATCCAATGTTGAGTTGCCCAAGTTTCCGTGTCTACTACAGACATTTCTTTAATCATATATTTATTGTTTACGCCAAGAACGCATTGCATGTCTAAGATGGCTGAAGACATTATTGCTTGTCTTTATAAAAAGTTTCAATACTATTGAGTTGACTAAGTATAGTAGGAAATATTTTCTTCAACACGTTGTTATTTTCTATGATGTTTTGTAATGCAATTTCAATTTTACTCATACGTTCCACTATATCTACGGACTTTAATTGAAGTGTTTCCGTGTGTTCTTCTTGTATTTGGACGGATTTATGATTTTCTTCGAGTAAATGCTCGATTTTATCCAATTTATTCGAATACGATTTGATCGACTGTTCGAGATTTGAAATATTTTTTTTTGTTTCACCAAACTGAGAACTACCGAACACGTTCATGTCTATAGCTCTACTGAWGTTATTTTCTAATGTCACCTGTATTTATCCAGCTATTGTGTGTATTATCGAACCCGAGCCATTTAACAAGTATTAGATATCCCTTCTTACGTATAATTTTCTCTATTAAATAATCATTTGGGTGATTGGTTTTTTGAATTTCCTCAGAGTAAAAACAGCCTGCAATCGGTTTTCCGGTATAATCTTGCAATTGATAAGTAGTGGGTAACGTATCGTTTATTTTAACAATTTTAAATATTTCTGTAGACCAGCTAGGTAAATAACCTTTTGCGAATACACTTTTATATGTGCTTATTCGCACGTCATCGCCTACGTTAAATTTGATCGGTCCATTAATAATTTTTCGTTGTTTAATAACGACAGCCTCCAGATTTGCATCAGCTTGTATAGGTGTCATACCTATTGTCCTATATTTTGAGTTGTTGTACTCGTTAATCAATGAAGGTAAAATTGATATCCATTCGTGCGAACCACGTGCAGTAAACTCTCTATACATTTTTCTTTAATTGTTCTACGTTAATTAAATTAAATTAAATTAAATTAAAAAGGGTTAAGACGTTCTACGATGCATGCTTTCGTTGTACTATACGTAGAATATTTGTGTATATTATATTTCTTCATCAACGCGTCGAATGCCGCATTGTAAAATTCTTTTCCATTGTCGACTTGTAAAAGTTTTGGTGAGCGTTTGGGTAATATTTTTGACATTGCATTTGAAACTTCTTTAGCAGTTTTAGATTTTAATTCTATACCCCAAGCAAACTTTGTAAAACAGTCTATGACGCTCAAAATATACTTGTATCCCTTGTTCTGTTGTGAATATGAAAATGTGAAAATTGTATCATTTCGACCAAGTCGGCCTGCCATATATCGTTTTTGCCATAAACATTAACTCTGCGTCTTGTATAATTTTTTCTAGCAGGTTTGTGTAGTTCGTTTGCAATTTCGTGTTTAGACATTTGGAATATGTTTTATTACCCCCGCTTCATACAATTCTTCGTAAATTGAGAGTATTTCGTTGGAAAGCCCTGTATTACCAGCCGCTTTTGACGCTAATAGTAACCGCAATCTATCGATTAACTCATTAGGATCATTACAGTACACTAAACTATGTTTTTTTAATTTTATAGATAACCCGCTACCTGAAGATGAGAACAATGGTTTGATTATATCAGCGAATTTATTCCCACCTTTTTTAATTTCTCTCCCACCTGCTTTTAGGTGTGCTGATCTTTGAATTAGTATAGATTTATATGTTTCTAAATCTTGTTTGGTGTAGAATTTTGGAGATTTTGAATTACCAAGTCCTTGTGTTAGCGGTTATGAAGTATCTTCAATAACCAACTTATTATTGACAAGATTAATTACTTTTTTACCCAAATGTACACTTCCGTTTGGTAGTATTTTAGGTCCACACGTTTTGTCTATATCGTAAGACTTAAACAAGTCGTTTATTTTGAAAGCTAGCGAATCGTCTGTGTCGTTTATTTCAAAATATTGAGAGCCTTTTCCAAGTTCCGCGGGTGAGGATTGAAATGTTGTAGGATTTAAATGTTATTTCAATGGTTCGATAATCGGACTTAACGTTTCTGATACTATTGAGTGAATATCAGCTTTCCCGTGTTTTAATGCTACATACTTGCGTTTAATATTTTCTTTGGCTTTAATCAATTCTCCGAGTGCCTCACCGTTAGCAGCCATGTCTGAGAATGAGGTAATTTCATGAAAACAAAAMTTTATATAACGACAAATGTGTTAAATCCGTGACGATATCGACCGTTATCACGTTCACAGTCTTTGTTTATTACGATAAACTTGAATCTCCCCAGACTCCAACACGATGTACTAAAGTTTTTAAACTCTGAATACGACATATCACCAGAGCAATGCTCATTGTATACATGCTTTAAATTAGTTTCGTCTTGTTTAAATAATACAATAAAATTAGCGTTATCACGCAAAAGTTGTTTCGGTACTTTTGAATAACTCTGAGCCAGGTAGCAAACGTCTTTTAAATTATGTCTAGCTCTGGAAAAGTAAGTTCTTGCAATATACTGATTTTCAGAAATAATATCGTGTCAAAAATAATTACAGAGTTCGGCAAAGCTTCTTCGGGTGCTATAACTTCTTCGTTTTCGTAGAACGTGAATAATTTTATTCCATCAATGCCTGATAATATATCGCAAAGCATTTTATATTTAGGTTGATCCAATGTTTTCGAATATATGTATACGTTGTGGAATCGTATTCCGTTTATATTGGTTAATAATGTGAAAATTAAATTTGTTTTTCCGCAGCCAGAAGGACCCACGATAAGCGAGCGTATCGTATTAGGTAGAAGCGCTCCATGTCTTTGTTTTTCATACGAAGTAGGCGGGTCCACGTTTTCAACTGTGAGTTGTATATCTTGCTTAAGGAATTTCATTTTTAAATATATCTGTTACACTGAGAACGTGATCAGTGCACGATGTCACCCGCTCGAAGAAAGACCAAGAATGGCGCCGGTCTTATCAACACGCTTATAAATAAATTACCGCTCGAGCTTCACGTACCTGGTGAGATCATAATATGCATATATTTTATTAGCAATAATAATAATAATATTTATCCAAAGGTTATCAATATTGTGGTCCTGGAACAAATTTAAACAAACGTTTAGCTTGTGGAGATCCAGGAATAAACCCATTAGACACTGCATGTAGAGATCACGATATTGCATACGATCGTAGTAACTCACGGATTGTAACTAGGCTGATGACTATATATTAGAGCAGCGAGCCTTGGATAGGTTCAAGTCTAAAGATTCTAGTTTAAAAGAAAAAGCTGTGGCTTGGGGTGTGACTACCGCCATGAAAGCAAAACGTAAAATCGGGGCTGGTTGTGAGTTTAAAGCGGCTGTCAAAGCAGCTAAAACCACTATAAAGAAAAATGTCGGTGACAAAAACCTGATGAAATTAAGTAGAAAATGTGTAACTGTCGCACRAAAAACATTCAAAAATAAAAAAAACTAAAGTTCCAAGGGTTATATCAATTCCAAAAAAAGGAGGTGTGTTACCACTCATTCCAATTTTTGCCGGTTTGTCAGCACTTGGAGCGCTAACTGGTGGTGTTGCCAACGTGGTTAAGATGGCTAGTGAATTTAAAAGAAATTCAAAATCTCATTTGGGCGGTGGATTATACATCGCATTGTATAAAGGCACCTCGTATAAAATCGGAGCAGGGTTAAATCTCGCACCATATAAAAGTGGTGGTGGCTCAAAAACAAGAAAAACTAAAAAAAACTAATAACTACGTTACCCAGAAGAGCTTTGTACGATTTCGAACTTGTAAAAATCGCTCGTTTGATTGAAATACCTCATTTCATCGGCGTGTTTACTAGAGATAGGTTGCCTGTTCGTCGTAAACGAATAGAATCAGCGATTGTTAACTTGGATTCGGAAAACGGTACAGGTACTCACTGGGTAGCGTATAAAAAAATCGGAAATCAAGTTCAATATTATGACAGTTTTAGAAATTACYACCTCCATTAGAAGTACAAAACTATTTTCACGCGTGTGATATCAATTTCAATTATAGCAGAGAACAGAAATATAATACTACAAACTGTGGCCACTTGTGTTTAAAATTTTTATCATGTACACGATAACATTAAACGGGAACTCGAGTGAATTGTCATGTGATATTTTTCCACCGTTGGAAGTAGGAAGCACAGCACAAATATGTCTTTTGAGCTTACAAACAAATAATTCGATACCAAACATCGAACATGGCTGTAATACTATCGGGTTCCGAAATTTAATCGGCATGCACGAAAACATAATTATACCTACGGGGACATATGAGTTGGAGCAATTAGAGAGTATTATACAAAAAATGTTACCAGACTATGTCTCTCGGTTTGAATTAAAAGCAAACAACAGAACATTGAAGTGTATTATGTCGTGTAGTGATAACGAAGACTTATCCGTTGGAAATAGTATAGCTACATTAATAGGGTTTAAAAATAATGTATACACCACTGGCTCTAGTTACGAWTCGGAAAATATAGTTAATATTA